GTCAATTTCTGAACGACTCACAATGATTCTAGTCAGTGTATCAGTATTGGTTCCTAACCCCTAGAAACCCACATTACAGTTAAATTTGTGTAAAAATTAGAAATAATAAAGACTGAAAATATCAAAAGCATATGCAGCACTCACAGTGCACAACTACATGGGCGTACTGAAACACGTTCCATAAATTCCTTTGCAACTTTACCTTCATAGCCAGGTGGAGCTTTTCTGCAAAGAAGGCAGGTTTGTTCCAAGCAGACTTCACTAAACATGAAAAATAAGAATGTTGTGAGGTTTGTATGTTTGAAAAAACTGTCATGAGCACAAAAACGGAAGATGTGACTTCATACTGCTTGATTTAGTTACTAAACTAAGATAGTCTTTGTATGTATCTTTGTGTGATAAAGGTTTGTGTGATAATGCTGACTGGACCAACCCTCGACACGCACAGTTGGAAAAACAAGCTTCCTAAAAGCTTTGCTTAGAATAGTCTTTCGATCACTGAAGCATTTAACATGTCTAGAATCTCTCACACACACCCACAGACACACAGACTAAAATGAAGGCCTGTTTCCTTACCCAGGGCCATCAGACAGTCTTCAAGGTCTCCATGCAGCTCACTCTCCAGCACTTTGGCCAAACCCTGCTTGCTGTATTTCCCATAATGCTGGAAAACTGCAAACACATTTTTAATGACACTATTAGTGTCTACAAATATAAAGTCAACTCTCTGTGAAAAACAATCATATATGTAACATTTGTATTCTGTCATAGATATTTCTCCACTTACTTTTGCACAACTGAGTTTCACTCCTGGTTGTGAGGACATCAATCAGGACAGAGCAAACAGTACCAACCCGATTCTCTCCTGCCTCAAACAGAGCCTGTATAAAGCAGACAGTGAGTGCATTTACATGCACACCAGCATGCTGGCATGTACATAAACTTACATATTGTTATTATTACAAACTATAATGCATACTTCTGTGTTCCATTTTATAGTATGCATCATCCATGTTGTGAATACTGCTTGTGTGAAGACCTGTCCACCGA